GACGTTAGATTTCTATGCATTACCGTGCGCGCGTGGACAAGCGGGCAAACGTCTCCCGAAACCGTCAACATGCGTTTTCATGCGCTTACCTGCGAGTTCACAGGTATCCCACGATTCGAGAAGCACGCAAAGTTCTTCACGCAAACATTTTTGACGAGGTCAGGGTCCCTTAGGATCAGTACAGGCGATCGGACGCGGAAGGCTCCGAAATACCTCTCCTCTTTGAACCATTCGTACATTTCTTTGATACCATCGGGTAAGGATTTTCGGAATAACAACATGGGGGCGAAGTTACCGAACAATACGGTGGGCTTTCGAAACGGCGCACCGCGTCTCTCCCAAAAGTCGAAAGTCGACGTGAGGAAACAGTATAAAAGTCCTAGGAACAGTCCTAAAAGGAAGAACTGTTCCAAGAACCCTCTCCACGTGACGATCCACATTTTAAACCACTCGCCACTGCCACCAGTTGCACAGTTCGTCGTCGCACTAGTTGCGCAAATTTGCGACTTTTATATGGAACTGCGTATATTGTAAAAATCACTGACACAAAATGCTGTTCGTCGACAAGTGTGTATATATATGGTCATCGAAGAATCGCTTTTATATCTTCTCTCAAACATTGAACGTACGATACAACAGATTCCCTCTCTTTTCTTCTTCAAATTTATTATCACAAACCGGAGGCGCTAAATTCTTTTTGCTCGGTGCTACATGGCCGTGCATAATGCATCACAGAGACTTTGGCGGGGGATCGAAGTTCGCCGGATATTGCGGTTCACTGTTATGCATCCGGCGAGGTCAACTGGTGCGTAATTATTAATTGTTGTCACACACAGTACAAAGAATTTGCTTCAAGCCGCGCGCGGGGAACAGAATTATCAACGATCCCTGGAACTTTTTATAGAAGTGGAAGTTTGATGGGCACGAATTCGCTACCATCTGCACTGGTTTGCCAGATGCCGATGATCACGGCCCTGTTGGTGAAACGTCAACGTGAAACAATCGCCGCTGCTAGCCAGTATTTCTACGCTGACGATGTTACGAGTTAAGCGCACGTGAGATTATCGGGTCACTGATTTCAACAATCGAACGCGTCGAACGTGGCGGACTTAATCATTTCCTTCACATACACACACACACACACACAGAGTAACTCGTGAACTATATTAGATCGACCATCCTGCAAATTTGATTAACCACAATGCCTAAGATTTACCAAATATCACGTAGTTGATCTAATTTGTACTATGTTCATTGAAAATGAAATCACTGTTCATGGTCTATGGAATTTTTAAACGCGACGACACTTTCCGAAGCTCGGTTCTTTAAAAACACTGTACTAGCAGGTACCATTACGTATCGTCACACAGTACTCCTTCCTTAAGAGCGAAGTCACTTGGAAGCGTAAACGAGAGGCATTTATCGGAGTAGTACAGCGCACGGAATGGTATGAACGCGGCGATTTGGAGCAGGCCGCGCGACGCGCGACTATGTGAAAATAGGGGACGGAGGAAGAAGAGAGAGTGAAGCGAAGAAAACCAGGCAGAGGAAGGAGAGAGAACGAAACACAAGACAACTCTCGTGTTCTAGCCGACGAAAGGCTGACCACCTCCCACTGACTAGAAATCATGAACGCACACCTCACCACGAATTTATGGAGATCTCGGGCTCGCTCTCGCTCCTCCACTCCGTGGTTTCGAATTTGTACCCGCCGCACCCAAACTCGTGTTGCGGCCGCTTATTATTTATCTTTAATCGGACTCCCTCCGTTTCTTAATGCCCCACCTTTGACTTTGAGCTGAGTTCAACGTTAATTCTTCGATTCGATGCGTTTTATGATCTGAATCTCATCGCAACGATCGATGACGATCGATTTTAATCCAATTATACTTTGCCCGAAGACCGAAGTTGTAGGAATTCTGGTTATAGATAGAAGAAACGTGAAGGGAACATTAATTTCACGTTCGACGCGGTGATGTCACGCGATAAGATATATATTCCCGAACGTATCGCTACGTTGTACGCATACATGACATGATTTTACGCGTCTTGTTCCCGAGCGTGTTGGCGATCGCAGTGCAAATGAAAATAGATTTTACTTTTACTGCCGCGCTACTTGGCCTGTCTCTCTGTACCTCTCTCTCTGTCTTTCTCTCTCTCTCTCGATCCAAACATTCTTTCTCGGGATCTTTGATAACTGTAGTAGAGATAATACATGCGCATATAGATTATTTAATATCTAATTACTATTTACAATTACATAAATTTGGCACAGGTAAATAAAAATAATTTATTGACGCGCTCTATACGACGATTCTGTGTCTATGTACATATACGTATGTACTACATTCGATCCGATTATTTGTGCGATTTGTACTCGACGGAACCATTTTATTCTCCGTCGTCCGCCTCTTTCTCCTTTTCGAAGAGTATGAAATGTATAAAATTTACATTCGTAACGATTCTGCTGCCTCGAATATAATGGTTCGTGATAAAATCGAGAAAAAAGAAATTTGAAGAAATAAAATGTAATTGCGATTACTAAACGCGTTTGATCATCGCCAATGCATCCATGTTTTATTACAAACAGTTCAACACACAGAACTTAAATTAATTTTAACAGGTACAAATGTGTGTCTGCTGAAAGCGGTTTCCTGTTTCAGTTAAAACAGACTAAATTTTCTTCGTGTATAAACTCTTTCTTTATTATACGTTTTTCCAATTTCATATAAACAATCGAGAAGGTGGGTGGGGGTGGTACGAACCAATTGTTGAAGTCGCAACTCGATCGTAAAACACCAAATACGTAACTCGTCAATCGTCGAAACAAGAATGGAATTCATAAATTAAATATAACATCGTGCAACTTTCTTTCATCTTCACAGTATGTATCAGCAGCAGCAGCAGACACGACAAAACTATGCGTACGTATGAATCGCTAGTCTCTGGTGTTTAACGTCCTCCATCCCACTTGTGGTGATACGTACGAGAATATTTATTCTCTCAAATTAATCATTCATTATTTACATTTACAAATACTATCCGTGTTCGTAGTCAGCAGCAGCGGCTCGTAGCGCGTCGAACTCGAGACGATCAATATCGTCGTGCTTCCATTTCCCATGCCATTATACAGACGCTCAAAGGTATCAACAAAATTATTTGCCAGCGTAAAAATTCGTTATTGTTTTTTTAATACGTCTCACTATACGGTAACTGCAAATTGTGTGTGACACTTATGAGCAACGTTTGCCCGTTCAACGCAAAAACCTAAAACACGACGCACGAATAAAAATCGACTAACGAGCAGCACTTAGTTTTTCGAACAATAACTGTAATTAAAATAATGTAGAATCATGTCTTATCCGCTGCGTATTGAACGCGATATTCGAAGTACAATTGTGTAGGGTTCGGTGCGAACACCGAGTCGACTCCATTGCTTCCATTTATTATGAAAAATGATTTCATACGCAAGAATTGTCGAATAATAATTATTACTTTCAGATGAAAATAACAAAGGATGACAGTGAAAATATTCAAACTGCCTGTGCTCATCGAAACAGTAGTTGGTATAGTTATTTCTGTATAACTATGTATGTATTATTTACCGGGGTATGTATTATTTATCGAGGTTTCATTTTCATGCAAAATTATTATACTTGAATTCGCGTGGAATAAATAAATATGATTATATCCGTCCGTAATAAATAAGTAATGTAGTTCAGTCATCCATCGGGCGAAGTACAGTATATAATAGGCAAGACTTATAGAGCTCGAACGATTTCCTCAAACAAATTTACCATGATGTATTTCTTTCAGGATTCTTCCGATTTGACGTGAGTAGTTGTAGTAGCTAACAGGTTCGCTTCGAAGTAAAATTAATCGCTCAATCAACGAAGTCGACCAACCGTTTTGCACCGAACTCATTCGAACTTGTAACGAACTTTATTTGACTAGCTTATTTCATGTCTCTCATTCCGTGTCGTCCGCTTCGGACGACTGTGCGATGACAGCGGCGGCGGCGGTAACGGGTAATGGCGACGGAATAATGAGCTCGTCGTCCTCGACTTCCTCCTCGGCCAACAAGAAGTCCTCCTGCTCCTCCGGTTCATGGATCTCTTCTTCCCTGGCAGCGGCGGCGGCGGCGGATGGTTCCGGCGGCGCCAAAACGTCTTGGCCGTGTTGCTTCAGGTGATCTTTCAACGCGAACGCCCTGCCATACGACGCGCCACAGATGTAACAGCTGAACTTCAAGTTATTGTCCTTCTTGTGTGTCTGTATGTGAGCCCGCGCAGCATACAGAGAAGCGAACGGTCGAGAACACTCGGTACACCGAAACGGCTTCGTGTGACTGTTCTTGTGGCCGGCCAATTGGACCCGCGTTTTGAACGTCTTCGGGCAATACGGACACGTGTAAGCGCGTTCCTCGCCGTGTGTGAGCAAATGATGATTGTACACTGACGATGCCTTAAACCGCTTGCCACAGTGCTGGCATCCGTACGGTCTGACGCCGGTGTGAGTCCTCATGTGCAGCGTCAGACAGTAGGAAACGCGGAACGTCTTGCCGCAGACCTGTCGTTGGAAAGGAAATATCGTTTTAGATCATCCGCATTGCTAAGAATTCAGTGGTGGTGGCGGTGACGATGGTGGAATGCTTTATTCCTCCGGATAAATTGCATCGCAAGCATGCTTACTTCGCACGCGTGCGGTTTTTCCCCGGTGTGTATACGTTCGTGTTTAACTTTCTCGTGAGGTCTCGTGAAACGTCGACCGCAGTGCTGGCACTGATACGGCTTTTGATTCTCCGTGGCGGATTCCTGGGTAGAATTGGCCGATGCGGCGGCTGCGGCGGCGGCGGTCTCTGTAGAAGGCGGTGTCGGTGAATGCGGCGGCGGCTGACTTAATTCCGTGTGCACAGCAGCGTGCATCGCTAAGCTATCGGCTGAATCGAATTTTCTATTGCACACCGTACAGGTCACGGAGTCGCCGGAGTGCAGCGCCATGTGCGCTTCTTTGTAAGATTCCGCTAACGTCTTACCTGAGAGCAGAAGAGAGAGGACGGAATGAAGTAAATTCTATCGGACGGACTTCCGTTTCTGCCGGAACGTAATTCGAACAACAAAATTCGCAACATGCAGCAGCTGCAGCAAGCTAATAAGGAAATTTGGAGTTTAGAATTGAAAATTGTTTATGGATTACCACACTCGGGACACGTGAAAGTCGCGTTGGGCGTTCCTTCGGGGGCATCGACGTGTCGCGCCCTGACCGGAGCATGCATCCGAGAGTGCAACCGCAAACTCTTATGTGAACAAAACTCCGTGCCACAGGTCTCGCAGATGAACGTTTTCTGACTCGGGTCCGGCTCGCCCTCGTGCACCTTCGCGTGCAGCTGCAACGCCTTCGGTGTCGCGAAAGTCTGATCGCAGCTATGGCAACGATTGTTACCGTGAAGACACGCGTGCACCCGAAAGTTCCCCAACTTGGAGAATTGTTGAAGGCATTGATTACATCTGTACATCCTCATCGGTGCAGTGGCCAATCTTTTTTCGCGTACCTGTGTGTGTGTGTATACGTGTGTAAGTTTCCGCACTTTCGTCGATACATAGGTTTAATAGCAACAATGTTTTACTACAAGATTTCGTTGTTGTTGTTGTTGTCGTTATTACTTATGAAGATTGGTGCGAAACAACACTTACTTTGACTCCTTCGGCGTTAGAAAAAAACTTTTCGATCATCGGTGATTTGGCCGCCGATTGAAGCGACGTTTGCGCCGTCGGTGCTCTATCCCAGAATCTTTCTATTTGTACTACCTTTCTCGTGTATAATCTTCCTTCGCTGTCCACGCATTCCTCTGTACGAAGGGTATTCATACTCTGTCTTTGTCTACTACTATTTACCGCCGCCGCCGCCGCCGCCGCCGCGCTCGCCGATTCCGAGGACATCGATGCATTTGTAATCGCGGCGGCGGCGGCGGCAGGAATCGCCGTCGTGGGTATATCGTCCAACTGATCGGCTATCTCGAGTAATACTTCTTGCCCATCGTGAAACTGCTTTATATGTTCAACGACCGAGTTAAAACTTATGTCGCAGCTGGTACAACTATAAACTGCTTCTGGTTCTATCTGTAACAAAAGCATTGCGCGTTGCAGTTTATTTGGTCATCGATCAACCACATGTGTTTTTACAAATAGACTCCACATAACGTTGATTGCTCTCGTCGTACCTCGCACAGTTCTTGTTTAACGCGTAACAATCCATCCTCGTCTAATTCTCCTACATCATTTATATGATCCATGTTTATGAGAGTACCAGCACTGTCAGCAGCAGCAGCAGCAGCAGCAGCATTGAGCAGCTCGGATCCATCGGGTAAAATAGTAATTACATCTGTATTTCTGTCTTCTTTGTCATCCATCACATCTGATTCGGTCGAAATCGTTACCAGTCGATTCGTTTTAGTGCCGAAAGATTTCTTTTCCTCTTTATTAGTAGCGGCGGCGGTGACGATGTTAGGAACTTTTTCCATCTTGAACTGCAACGAATTCCGCTGTACCTGAGGCGTCTCTTCGGTATCCATCATCATCTTTTCCACAACTTTAATGTCGCCTGATCGATAATTTCCAGATCCAGATAACAATGGTCAAACGCGAAACAGAATTACGAACGCGTTAATTGATCGAAATGAATTCTATTACTACCGTACACCGTACCGTTTTCATCGACTTGTATGGTTTGAGGTCCGCCTACTATCATAATTCCACTGTCGTTTACCGTTGCCAAGAAACTTTGATCTATGCCTTCGACATTCGTGTCCTAAAATAAAAACGACCAAACAGGTAGTTATCAGCAGCAGCCGGACAGCTGCATCTGCTCACGTGTGTCACACGTGGTCTCTGAACAATGAAAACAGTTCGTCGATCTACCGTCGATGCTAACCATTAAGACCTCTGTTTCGGTTTCGGACTCCTGCTGTTGAGCCTCTTCTTGTTGACCAGAGTGCTCGTCTTTGACTTCAGGAGATGCCTGGTCAGCGTCCATACTCTGTCCGCATTGATCCAAATGTTGAATGAGTGCCATTACCGAGTCAGATCGCTGCGAACAACCAGGACAGTATAGGTTGTCCGTCATGCTCAACAAATGGTACTTTAACGACTGTGGATTGTTAAAAGTTTCACCACAGCACATGGGACAAACGAGGTTCAACGATCCCATTACGATCTCTGTCTCGTTATTCCGCGGATTCTCACGCGAGTGACCTTAGCCCGACCGACCCTTTCTGCCCTTGCCCTTCTTTTTCGTTATCACCCTACTCTAACCAAACGTTTTCTTAAGTTCGCCTATTCCTGTCTTAGGTTTAGTTAAAAACAAAAAGAAATAACAGAAGCCGGTTTCCGTTAGAAAAGAATCTAACCTGACGATCAATCAGAAAAATCAGTAAAATCGCGTGAACGTGTCCGGGTACTACGGGTACGGAACAATGTCATGTTGTCTCCTCCACCGCGAGTCGACCGTTTCCCACGGAATGTTTACTCGTCGATTATCGTCGTCGTCGTCGTCGTCGCATTACGTTGAACAAAACTAGATAGCACCGAAATTTTTGTACATATGGGAAACAACAGTAGTAACAACGATAACGAAACTCATTAGAGACGAACTTCAGCGCAAACAAATGCCGCACACAACAATCATGAAGTTAGGGAAGTGATAAGTGAATCGCGAAGTCGGCCATTACATCCTCGCTCTCGGTCGCTCTCGATACGACGCGGCGGCGACGACAACTATTGAAGTCAAATTCAAGCTGCTTTTGAATTCTGATATAGATACAGACGCAGACGCGACGGCGCTCGGACATACAATTACATATCACCTAATCTGAATTTTCTCGCGGTAGCGGTGTGAATTATCACCGTGCATTAAACGTTTTCCTCTTCGTCGCCCCGTCTCTCGCGCCTTTCGAGGAGCACTTTTCTACACCGTTTCAACACCGTCCGTCACCAGCAGTGAATGTGCACGCTTGTCGAAACCACGATTGAGTTCATCAGTTGAAAGCGGATTAGATGTTCATTTGATAAAAGGTGCGCGCTGCGTTCATTTCCGTCTGACCGACCTCCGCGCAATTACGAAACTTCCTGTAACTGCAGCAACAGCAGCAGCAGTATAAAGGTATAAATCATTTCCTTGATCACATCTCTGCAATATCGTGTTTCGCGTTCCGCTCGTGCGATTAAACCGCATCATCGTTTTACGAAAAGAGTGCCATGGTAGCGCCCTTTGACTATACATACATAGTACATATATACATACATGTATATATAGTCAAAGGTAGCGCCACCATGCTCGGTACCCAAAGTTTTTGAAAACTAACGTGTAAACACGTGCAAAGCAGTTACATGTAAGCATATACTATGTAAAATTTAAATTTAGTGGCTAAAATTGCCGCTCTTTAGTCACGTATAGGTATATAGCCAAAGGTGGGTATCACGCACATTGACGTACGACCACTGTTTGGAGATTGATGATTCATAAGTAACTAACTAACTCAAGTAAGGATGGAGAAGAAACATGGGGTAGTGGTGGTGGGTAACAAGTATTCCCCATTTTTTCTTAAATAATAGTTTATTCATTTATATCGAAGTATATTTACACTGTTTTCCTAACTTAATAATCGCCTACTTACTTCGTTCATTCACACACGCAAATTAATAGTAGTCTTATAATATAGCGAAGCGGAGCATAACGATGAGAATAACAGCAAGGAAATATTCCTTTCATAGATTCAATTCATTTTGCTCTTGACTACACTCGTGTCATCATTCATGTTTCCCTCGTACCGAATCTAGACGCGGCGAAACGGAACAGTTTCTCATACCTACCAGAATGTTCGTCGTTCATTCGTTGATCAATCGACATGCTCGTGTTGGGCATTGCTCTCTCGCCACGTGTTTTGTATCAATTCAACGAACTGCTGCCACCACCTGCTCTGCGATGTAAAGTATAATGCACACGCCGCGATAAATATCCACGAGAGGACTAGACAGTAATCCGTTTCATTGGAAGGCGTGCTAGAAACAGGTCCAGCGAAATCTAACGACGTAACGTACAACGAACCATTCGGTTGCAAATTGGTAAATTGCGTTATAAACCGGGCAAAAAACTCCAATGTATAAACTGTGCCGTTGAATTTTGCTACTGGTTTTCCATTGTGAATAAGCATCAGCGTAGGAACACCGACGATTCCATATTGTGCGTTGAAACTGAAAACAGAAAAGTAGACGACGATTCGTCGAGCGAAAACAGTTATAATTCCATCGCATCGATTCTTTGTTCGATTTAGTTACTTTTGGTATTTGATCGCATTTATCGCGACTGCTTTCATGTGTGGAAACGATCTTGGCAATGCATTAAAGTGGGGAGCAGCCTGACTGCTGAATATACTCCATCGGGCATAAAATAATACTATCACACAGGTTCCTGGTAACAATCTGCCTTCCCTGTCATTAGTTCTACTTCTGTTGGATGGTCCGGGTTCCAGTATCAATAATTTCATCAATCTGGTCGCATTCACGATCTGAAATAATTTATGCTCGTGCAACACACACGTCATTCTCGTCAAGGTGGAACAGACGACGTAACCACCGCCTGAAACGCCGGGCTTTCAAGTCTCATCACATACTTCAACCGGTCCGTAGACTTTGTCTGTCAGACAGTTGACCGCAGTTACGTTCGAGTTCGATGAATTATTTGCCGTGATGTTCGCCTCGACCGTTTTGTTTTCCTCTTCGTATTTTACATCCCCTGATGCTGGATCGGCGGTGAATTTCGATTCCGATCGTTCCGTGTTCGATTCCTGTTGCCCAAAGACACCGACTACTACGCTTATTAAAACACAACTAAATAAATGTGAGAGATCGAGAAAGAACGAGAAACTTTACGAATAGGAATAGGAAAACACGCACACATACACACGCGCGCGCGTGCTTTTACCTAAAATTATGACGAACAGCCACGAGTTCTTTATAGAAAATAACATTTTACGTCCGCCGCATGTAACCTAAAATGACTGCGTGATGTGTGCGTTGCCGTTTCTGGGTAGGTAGGATTCCGTAGGATCACGGCCGTGATAGAATTATAGGATGCGGTAGGAACATAGACATATAAGAATAGACCGCGCAAGCAGTGATGTAAGATTTGCGGAATTTCGATCGCCGCGCGTACTGTGAGGAAAAGTGGAACTAAAAGTCTTGATGTAAGATTTTGCGGATTTTTCCGCCCATAGCGTAGACATGGACTTAAAGGACGGTGCATAGTCGAGGGGAACGGCTCCCAAAAGCGGAAGGGGAAAACAGCTCTGTTTGAGCCCACAAGTGGTGCCCTCAGTGCGGTCCCGCCTGATTTTGAACATGCTTATTCGTTTTATCTTCCATCAAAGGTAAAAAAAGAAGGCTAGACAAAAGGTAATAAAAATAAAAACAGTACTTTGTGAAAATATAAAAGTTTAATCAGTCCTCTTATAAACACCAAAACACAATTTAATCAATCGCGAATCAGCCCCTCCGCCTTCGGTAGTACATTAACTTCGACCAACTCAGGCATCGCGCGCGTGATGATTCATTGTTCCTCCTTCCTATGCTGGATCCTCCGCATATACTCCTGTAAGAATTGAAATTGGTCTTAGAATTGTACGTGTAAAGCAGTGAGGGAATAAAAATTGTATTATCGACATACTTACAGGTGTTCATTCATTATTCCTCTTTCCCGACACCGGATCCTCTGCATATGCATCTGTAAAAATTGAAAACGGTCTCAGAATCGTACATGTAAAGTAATGAAAGAATAAACCTTGTATTATCGACATACTTACAAGTATTGATTCATTATTCTTCCTCCATTCCGGCAC